GGGGGTTGGGGGGGTGGGCATAAGGGGTAAAGGGCCACATATATATGGTGACTGACAAATAATAACGTATAATTGAAATTTCACAATGTTATAAACTATTATGACCTCAGTAAAATAAAAAAAAATTATCTTGGGATTTTGGTTGAGAGCACGCTGAAATTAAACATTAATTTGGGAGGAAATTGACAACTTTTATCATATTGAACCTTTCCACCCATGATCAGGGTTTTCATCTGCATTTCTTCAAGTCTTTTATGTTCTTCCGTACACTTTTACAGTTTTCTTTGTAAAGGTCTCACCCATTTCTCACTGGGTTTATTAGAATATTACTGGGTTCTTTAAAGTTTAGAATCTTCTCTAATCCCTCCCTCTGCAGTTCCGCAACCCTTGCAGAAAGCCTCTGCTGAATCCTTTTGCTTTCACAATTAGTTTAATTTAACCCATTATTATAGGTTGCTTACATTTTCCAGTTGTTCTCAAGTTGCATCTTGCATGAGTTTCCAGCTCCTCAACTGTAGGGTCAACTCCTAAAGGGCCAGGCTGGGGTTTTAATTCCTGCTTGGGGAAGGGGGCATGCTTTGGGGAGAATCTATTACTAACAAGGAAGGGAGAAGGAGGGGTGCAGAATGAGGGGCCCCAGGGCTCAGAGCAGGGAAGAGGAAGACGCCTGTTCCCTTGGTCATTGGGAAAGGGGGAGTGTCTGGAAGACAGTCCTCTGCAGGAAAACATGATGCCTCCTTTCTGTACCTTCAGCCTGTGTGTGTGTGTGTGTGTGTGTGTGTGTGTGTGTGTGGTCCCCAGCACTGTCATTGTCCTTAGCAGCCTCTCACATTTTCCCAAGCAGCTCCTTGCTAGCAGTCTGGGTTCAGAACCCAGCTCTGCCACTGCTCCCTGTGACCTGGGTGATCAAGTACCCTCTCAGGAAATTGCTGTGAGCATTCAAAGAGGGTGTGCATAAAGCACGCAGCACACAGCCTCATTCACAGTAGGCATGCAACACATGGAAGCTTTAACAAAAGTGCATGTATTCATTCATTCATTGCAAGGGTGTGTGGAGAACATTCCAATTTGAAAGACAGGCAGGAAAGGGCTTAGACTGTTCAAGGGCAGAAAGCAGGCTCAAAGTGGGGAGGGGGAGCCCTGGTGGGGGGCAGGCTGGGCAGGGTCCAGGTCCTGCAGGGCAAGCGTGTGCAGTGGGAGCTGGTGAAGGGGAGCAACACAGTCTTTACGCAGGTTGCTCTTCTGAGGACAGCAGTTGGAGGGGAAGAGGCCGAGCTGTCCAGGTGAGAGATGCTGGGGGCTGTGGGCGCACGCATACCTGTGGGCAGGAACACACCTAGTGTGAACATTCTGAGGCGCTCAAAACGCATCACTGTCTCAAGTATCCTCACAATCTCTCCAATATTTGTGGGTCACAACAAAGAGAAGAGAGAGCTAATTGTCCATTTTCTAGCTAGAAAAACTGAGTCTAAGAGAAGAGACATGGCTTAATCCTTTTAAAGCAAAGCAAGAGCAGAGTCAGGGTGAGGAGTTTTGCCCCTTGACTAGGTGCTTGCTCAGGCCATCACTCCATCTTTGGGGTCTGAATCCCAATCCTCCCCCTTTAGCTAAGGCTCAGCTGAGATCTCTCCCCTCCAGGGAGTCTTCTCTGCTCACCTCAGCCCACCGGGCTCTTTTTCTCTGGCACTGGTGTGTTTGGGGATGGTCCCCTCGATCATATATTACTCGTGGCTCTCTGTCCATCCAGCCGTGCTTCCACCCATCCATCCACTTACCCAACCATCACCGAGCCCTACGATGTGCCTGGTCCTGTGCCAACACTGGGCTGCTAGAGATGGTGCAGGCACCTCCATAGCCTAGAGTTAGAACTTGTGTTACGGGTTGAATTGTGTCCCCTCAAAACTCATATGTTGAAGTCGTAACCCCCAATACCTCAGAATGTGACCTCATAGGGTCACTGCAGATGTAATTAGCTAAGATAAGGTCATTAGGGCCCTAATCCAATATGACTGGTGTCCTTATTAAAAACGGGAAAGTTGGACACAGAGAGAGACACACACAGGGAGAACACCACGTGAAGATGAAGGCAGAGAGTGTGGTAACGCTTCTACAAGCCAAGTGGCACCCAAGACTGCCAGCAAATCAGCAGAAGCTAGGCGAGCGGCCTGGAACAGATTCTTCCTCACATCCATCAGAAGGAACCAACTCTGCTGACACCTTGACCTCAGACTTCCAGCCTCCAGAACTGTGAGACAATAAATTTCTGTTGTGTAAGTCAAGTTTGTGGTACTTTGTTTTGGCAGCCCTGGCACTAATACCCTTGGGTAGGAGAGGGAAGCTCGTGTGAGCCCCCCTGATCTGGACTGGAGGTCAGGAAGGGCTTCCTAGAGGAGGTGATGCTGAGCTGGGCACTGAAGAATGGGTTGGAGTTTTTCAGGCAGACAAGTCAGGGAACATTCTAGGCAGAGGCAAGAACATATGCAAAACCCAGGAGGAGGCATGAGTGTATGTCAGGGACACTTCCTTGAACTTTGAATTTCCCTACTCCTGCCTGCCCTGCCCAAGCATCTGAGGCTTGGAAACCCACTGCCCACATCCTTTGCTCCAAGATAACGGAAAAGTGACTTTTACCAGGAGGCCCCTTGGACCCAGATGGTGACATGCATCATTCTCACCAGCAGGGGGTGCTCACAAGATCATATGGATGAGGGAAGATGGGTAGAGGCAGAGTAACCTGCTGGCATTTGTCAGGATCCAAGGCCTCTGCTCCGGGGAGGAGGTGCAGCCCGCTCTGATGATGCTAGGGCAGGCAGCTCTGTGCTGGCCAGGGGCCCTCCCACATCCCAACGGACACACCAGACACACCGCCCTGGGAGGCCACACACTCAGTCACATGGCCCTCGGTACAAGTACTTTATTTCAATTACAATAGTGCCACACCAAAACTACAGTAGCACAGAACATAATAATACAAAAAATAGATTCCCAGCTCCAAACCCCACATTCATGGACCCGCAGAGAAGACAGCCCTATGGCTCCCTGGGCCTAAGGGGAGGGGTCTCTTGGAGGGCAGCTGCCCATCTCCTCAGCCTTTTTCGAAGCTCTGGAAGGGCAGGGATGGGGGCAGTGGGGGTGTTTCCTTTGCTCCCATCCCTGCTGGGCCTGAGCCTTCCTCTCCCGCCTCCCCCCCGACTCCTAGCACACCCTGAAGCAAGGAGTGCAGCCTACATTCCCTCTGGCTGGACCCTCAGCCCTAGGACACTTGCTTCTGGCTGGGAGGCCCCAGTCCATGGAGCCGATGGACACTCTCGAGGACTGTGACCCTCCACAGGGAAGGCTGAGAAGCAGGAGGGTGGGGGGAGAGCAGGCCCAAGGAGGGTCCAGGACTGGGACAGCCTACCTCTATGTGGCAAGGTGCGTGCAGCGGGCTCCTGATTCTAGCTCCTTCTCTGGCTCTGAGCCTACCTTTCCTCTGAAGAGCTACCAGGCCTGCTCCTTGCGGGCACCAGGAGCCTCCTCTGGAGCCCACTCCCAACACCCCTGCCCCAGCTCTGGGACTGATCTGAAGTGGGCGAGGCAGTGGCTGAGCTGTCTGCTCCTCTTGGGCAAGGAGGATTCTGGCTTCCCAGGCGAGGCAAGTGCACTGTGGAGTGGGGCCTGGCCAGGTGGCCTGAGCTGTCAAGACGGGAGAGCCGTGGTGGACACTGGTTGCTCCTGCCTCAGTCACAGGTGCCTGCCTGCCCCAGAGGACCAGAGCGGGGCGACAGTTAGCTCCACTTGGGGGAGCTCCTGACCTGTGGTCTCAGGGAGGGCACAACACTGCTGGTCTCCAGACACCACAGGCCAGACTGATCAGGTTGGGGGAAACTTCTCCTCACAGCCTCGAATGGCTAAAAGCATCCCCCAAGAGGAGGACTCCATCTAGCTACAAGTATTGTCTTAATTCAACCCAAGGGGCTGAGAGTAGGATGGAGACCAGGGCAGGTTCAGGGTTCCTCAGATTCCTGACCTTGGTGCCACTGACCTGCGGGCCAGAGCTCCTGGGCTGCTGTGAGAGGCAGCTCTGTGGGCACTGGGAGCAGGGGGTATGGCCTTGTGTTCCAGTCAGGACACTGGGAGGCTTCACTGAGGAGGCCAAGGGGCCCGTGGGCAGGGGCGCTGTCTCCTTGGGGTGGAGCCCAGGGCCACAGCTTCACATAAGGCACTAGAAAACGGAGGGTGGGCTGGCTGCGGTCCCAGGAGCCAGGCCCAGGCTGGGTGGTCGAGGACAGAGCCCAGAGGGAAGATTTGGGCCGTGTGGGAGAAGACAGCCGTCTTCTCTTTTCTCTTTCCTCTGGGGAGAGGGTTGGCAAGGGAGACCCTGAAGTGGCTGGGATGGGGGGATTGCTGTAGAGAGGGGACAGCCCCCGGGATAGACATGGGGTAGCCAAAAGAAGGGGGACGGAAAGAGGACACCTCTGGCACCGCAGACTGTGTGTGTGTGTGCGAGGGTGTCTCAGCCTCGCGGGGCTCCCGTGGTCCGGAGCCAGGGTGCTCGGGCGCCCCAGACTGGGTTTGAGGGCCCTGACCTGGCCTCATTCTGCCGCAGCCATCAGTCCCCGGTGGAGACCTTGGGGATCAGACCTTCCTTGCTGAGGTTCCCACTACTGGATTCTGGGGACAGAGGCAGGCACGCTGAGGAGCTGGGCCTCTCCTCTCTGTACCAGGTGACCGCAGAACCAGGTGACCAGGGCTGAGGCAGCTCTCTGCTTGGGGACCTGCTCAGCGGCTGGGGCTCGCTGCCTTGCAGCGAGGAGGAAGAGAGGGCGGTAAATCAGTGGGGCTTCCCTTGTCCACAGGTTATTTAGAAAAACAGAACATAATAAATATACCAATCCTTTCCTTAAAAAAAAAAAAGTGTTTTAAATGCATTATTTCCCTGAAGATTTCCAGTGTATTCCACATGTTTAAAAAATAGTTTCCCCAAAAATATATCTTTAAAGCATTTGACACAGTGGTACTTGTGGTGTATCTGGCGCTGGATGTGTGCGGGGCCTGTGTCCCACTGCCCTTGTTGGTGGGGGGCCCAGGCCTGGTGAGCAACCAGCCTGACACCCAAATGCCCGATAGAGCTGATGCACATGTGCCTGGGGTGACAGGGTCTTCACGGGATGAAACCTCGGATTATGTTGAGAACCCACATCACAGGCTCGGTTCCAGCTGAAAATCCTCCAGTGCCGGGAAGGGGGCCCTAGGCGGCCAAGGGGGCTGGGCAACGCCCTGGACGCTGGATGGAGGGTGCAGCCTTGTTGGCCCCCCCTGGGGGGCTTGTCCTCAGCGACCCCCTCCTCTGTCTTGGCTCTTGGTGCTCTGCTCCTCACCAGACTTCACACTTGTGATGAGGGTTCATGGGGGAGCCAGGTGGGCACTGGAAGTGTTCTGAGAACTCCTTGGAGTTGGAGACAGAGCCAATGACCCGGAAGCGGGAGGGGCTGTGGGGATCGGTGATGAGGCCTTCGTGGGAGCTCTCAGGAGTGCGGACGGAGCACCAGACCTTTGGGAGGGCAACAAGGGAGAGGCCAGGGTCACTGCGGGGTCCTGAGGCCGCCAGACTGGCCTCATCCATGCTGTCAGGAGAATGAGCCCTCAACCTGGTTCTGAGACCCCTGGGCATCAGGAGGGCCTGCCAAGTGGGTAAGGAAGAGACAGGGCTGGTGTGTCCCCATCCCAGCGTCCTCAACCGCAGTGTCTCCAACTGTGTTCCTGCCGCCAGAGCAGCATCTCTGTCTGTCCTGGGCATCTGTTATATTTCATCTGAACAAGGGATTCTGTCCCAAAATCAGTTTGAAAACCTTGGGTTGGGTCTAGGTCACTCACGCCCTGGGCAGAACAAACTGTCCAAGGGCCTGGTAGCTCTGGGTGCCAACAGAAGGCTATAAGCTGAAAGCAGCTCAAGGGACAACCTGGGGCATCCTGAGTTTAAGAAATCTCTAGAACACCAGAACCAAAAGGGCCCTTAGCAATCACCTTGTCCTCTCATCTACCTGATGCAGGAATCCTTTTAATATCATTCTTGCCCCTTCCTTGAATCTCTCTAATGAGAGGAAGCCTGCCTTCTTAGAGGGTGAATACCCTGGGGGCAGCCCAATGAGCTAGGAGGTTCCTAATTTTAGGGGAACTTGTTTTTTGGCTCTCGGAGCTCCTGGAACATCAAGATGGCAGAATGTGCCTGAGTTGGGTTTTTCCCTAATGAACTCACCTGTGCAAACCCCAGGAAGAAGAGCTGGTTATTGGTGAGACCCAGGGTGGGCAACGTCTGCTCAGCCCCGTTTTTCTTCACCCAGTTCTGGTAGGCCTGGGAGGGGAGAAAACAGAGCTCAGGGGTCCCGTGACACAGGAGCAGGCAGGGTGGCGATGGGGGCTAGTGTGGGAGAAGCTCTACCCTGTCAGGGCAGGGACTGGCTTCTGGGGGTCTGGGCCTCAGCGCTGATGGCCCGGCTCAGCCTAGAGGAGGTGTCTTCTAAGGGGCGACGCATTCAACCCTGTGGCTTTAAATACCATCTACTGCCCCCGGCTCTCAGATGTGTACTTCCAGCTCCAGCCTCTTTCCTGACCGGTGTATTCAACTGCCCCGGCTGGACATCCAAGACACATCCCAAATTTAACACGGCACAAAGAGAACGAGAGGTTAGACACACATGCACACTTTCCCATCACAGCAAACAGCACCACCAACCACCTAGGGACTCAGGCCCAAACCCCGGAACTCTTCTTTGATTCTTCCCTTTCAATGAAAGCAAACAACCCCAAATCTGACCATTTCTCTCACACTTGCCATTGCTCCATCCCATCTCTTGCCTGGACAACCTCACAACAGCTTTCTAACTAATCTCCTTGACTCACACCGGTCCAACTCCAATGCCCTCCTGACACAGCGACTTAACTCATCCTTATAAAGCAGGGGTTGGCAAACTTCTCTGTGAAGGGCCAGAGGGTAAATATCTTTAGCTTTGGAGGCCACACGGCCTCTGCTGCAACTACTCAGCCCTGCCGTTGAGGTGTGACAGCAGCCACAGACAACACGGGAATGAACGGGCCTGGCTGCACCCTCCTAGATCTTTATCTACAAAAACAGGCTGAGGGCGGGATTTGTGGGTTTGCTTCCCCTGTTTTAAAGGATAAACTGCATCATGTCATTCCTCTATTTAAAACCCCTGCAGCAACTCTCTTTGTAACCAGAATAAAACCCAAGCTCCTTACTCAGCAGACAGAGGCCCTGCACGCTGGTCCCAGCCACTCCTCCCCTCCCTCTACTCCACCCCACCGTGTCCCTTCTTCTGCTTGGGTCCATCTGCACTTACTCCTCCTCCCTGCTTTTCCCTGCCTCTTCCTCTCATTCAGATCTCCATTCATATGTCACCCCCTCCATACCCTCCCCCCAGATTTTTTGTGACTTTGTCCTATTTTATATTCTTCATCTTCTCAGTACCTGAAATTATCTTATTTATCTGTTTAGGGAGGTACTGTCTTTCTTCCCCATCCCCGCCCCATTGTAATTGTGAGCTTTATGAGAGCAGGACCGCGTCTGTCCTGCCACAAGATCTCCAGCACCCAGAACAGCACACGATGGTTAGACGGTTCGCAGTATATTCTCAGCGACTAATGATTCAGGAACTTCAGGCAAGTTACTGAATCTTTCTGGGCTTAGTCTTCTCATGTGCAAAATGGGGGTTGTAACACCTAAGAGTAAAGTTGTTGGGGTGCTAAGCACAGAGCCCAGCACGTAACGAGGCCTCAACAAACGGCTCCTCTCAGAATCTGCTCTTCTGTCACGGGAGGAGGAAGCTCCGTGTTGCTCTCTGCGAGAGGCCTCCTCCTTTTCCCTCCCTTCCAGGCCCCATGCCCAAGTTGTCTAGCATCATCTTTCTAACACCCCAGTGGTGCGGGGGATTAGGTGTTCACAGCCAAGCATCCCGGGGCTCAAGGAGGCTGAGCAACTTGCTCCAGAATCAGGATTTGAACCCAGAACTGGCTCCATGACCGGTGTCCCCTTCCCTCCCCTCTGGGGCCCTCTGCTGCCTGATTAGTGGTGGTTCCCCTGCAAAGGTAAGAACAGGCAGGTCATCAGGCAGGTCTGGCCTAAGGCCTTTCCTGTGTCTCCCAGCCAGGCCGGACTCAAGGGTTGACAGCCTTCGGTGTGCCCAGCTCCGTGCGAGGTGCTTTCACAGCTGCCCTCTCAATCGGCCGTCACCCACCCATTTCACAGATGAGAAAACTGAAGCCACAGAGCGGCCGTAGCTTGCCCCAGCGTGTCTATAATGACCCAGACCTGGGCCCGGGGTGTGTGGGGAGGGCGTCTCTCACCCGATAGGCCGCCTTGAGGCCCCCGTTGTCAGCGATGTTCTCCCCGAGGGTGTGCCGGCCGTTCACCGGCTCTCCGTTCACGCTGTAGTTGCCGTATTGCTCCACCATGCACTCCGTCTGCTGCTTGAAAGCCTCCACAGAAGAGTTCTTCCACCAGGGCCGAAGGTTCCCGTCCTTGTCATACTCCCGTCCTGGGTCAGAGGAAGTCACGTCAAGGGGAAGAGGCAGAGCTGGGACCAGCTGCTGCTGACTGTGCCTCTCCTCCCAATGAGAATGGATTCATCTGTCTGTCCACCCATCTCCCAACCAGCACCGGGGAGATGATGCCGGTCTGAGCAGGAAAGGAGCTGGATGAATTAGCCAATCCGGGGTATAGGTCGAAGAACGTGATGCTAAGGGCCTCTGTCCCTGAGCCCAGGAAGGGGTATACAGAGCTGGCAATGCTAGGGTCACGGGACAGGCCCCAGTCTCCAAAGTCCTGCCTCCTGCTTGGCTTTGGGGTTTCCAAGGCAGGAGGCAATGAGGATGATTCTGGACATTAGCTGTGAGGGGACTGACTTCAACTCCTCTGGCTGAGGTCAGATCAGAGAAGTCTCCGGAGTGGTGGAGAAATGTATGCTCCCCACTGACTAGAAAAAATATCCACCCCGAGTACTGGACTCATGCCAGGAGCAGGGTGTTCCACTGTGCCCATTTTACAGACAAGAAAACAGAGGCTGGAGAAATGATAGCACTTGCTAAAGTTCATACAATCAGCAGGTGGCTGGGCCAGGATTTGAACCCAGATCCTTCTATCTCCAAAGCTAAGACCCTTGGAAGTGAAGGGAGAAAAAGCAGAAGCAGTGGGGCCAGGAAGCTGATGGGCCTCATCTGAGGGAACCCCAAGGAACCTGTACCTTGATCGTCAAAAGCATGAGTCAGCTCATGGCCCACGACGACGCCGATGCCACCAAAGTTTAGAGCCCTGGAGGAGAGGATACAAAGGTGAGGGCAATGCCTCGAGGGGAGGCACCATCACTTCCCAGGCCTGGAGACACAGCAGAATCCCTCAGGGCTCTGTGGGGACATGGCTGTAGCCTGAGCCTCCAGCCAGGCCCCTGAAGCCAGCCAGAGGCTGGATGAGTGGGCCGTGGTCAGCCTGTGTCCACTGGATGCCAAGCACTATGCTGGATGCTCCACAGACCCGCACTGTCCTCTTTGTCATCTCAGAAGAGTTAGGCATTACTAACTGACTCTATAAATGTGACAACCGAGGCTTGGAATAGTTCAATCACTTTGCCCAAGGCTCACACAGTCAGCAAAGATCAGACCTGGGATTCAAACCCAGGCTCATGTGGATTTCATTTCTGAGACAGTGCCCTCACCTCCTCCACTCCCCAGCTGTGACCGTTCTAAGGCATTGTTAGAGGGGCATTCCCCCATAGAGGGCTGTTGTCGCCACGACACGCCCCCAAGTTCCCACTGCGCAGGGGAAGCACAGGGAGTGAGGATGTGGTTCCCTCTGCAGCTTCTCTGTAAGTCCCAAGACACCTGCGCCAGCGGGCAAAGAGTGAGACTGGCTTGATTGTGTGGTCAGCCGTGGGCCGCAGGGCTGGGCCAGGCTGGGGGTCCACAGAGGGGTGGGGGAAGGCGATGGGCAGGAGCAGTAGAAGCATCCTACTTGGGTGAGGAGCGGGTGTAGAACGGGGCCTGCAGGATCCCGGCCGGAAACACAATCTCGTTCTTGGTGGGCGAGTAGTAAGCGTTCACCATGGGCGGGGTCATGCTCCACCTGCAAGCAACATGCACGGGAAAGGTCAGGCACAGCTTGGGGGCACATGGGGCAGCCCGTCTGGAGGGTATCAAGAGCCTTAAAAATGCGATTCCCCTTGACCCCAGGCCCAAGCGTACCCAAGTGCAAGGACATGCTAGCAGCACTGTTTTTGAGAGGGGAACTAGAAAACACCCAAATGTCTAGAAAGAAGGGGTCAGTTAAATCTGATGTCACACACACAGTGGAATCCAGAGGCTCTCACAAAGACCAAGACGGGGGCCGGCCCCGTGGCTTAGCGGTTAAATGCCCACGCTCCGCTGCTGGCGGCCCGGGTTCGGATCCCAGGCGCGCACCGACGCACCGTTTCTCCGGCCATGTTGAGGCCGTGTTCCACATACAGCAACTAGAAGGATGTGCAGCTATGACATACAACTATCTACTGGGGCTTTGGGGAAAAAAGAAAAGGAGGACTGTCAATAGATGTTAGCTCAGAGCCGGTCTTTCTCAGCAAAAAGAAGAGAATTGGCATGGATGTTAACTCAGGGCTGATCTTCCTCACAAAAACAAAAACAAACAAACAAAAAGAGCAAGATGGACCGGATTTATTGAAGTCATCACTGTCAGGCTCACAACGTACCGATCAGCAGTTCTCAGTGTGGTCTGTGGCTACCTGGGCAAGGGGTTCCTCAATTCTCTTTCAGGGGGTCTGCGAAGTCAAAACTATTTTCATAATAATATTAAGATATTATTTGTCTTTCCCACTGCGTTGACATTTGCACCGACAGTGTAAAAGTTTGTGGTGGGTCAAAATGCCAGAGCCTTGGCTGAACCAGCAGTGGTACCAACTGCTCGAATGGTCACCGTGTTATTCACCAGGAAGAAAAGCCATTGTCACGTAAGGACTTCCTTGATGAGGTAGCATAGTTATTAATCTCATTAACTCCAGGCCCTTGAGCACAAGTCTTTCAATATTCACCGTGACCAAATGGGAAGGACACGTGAGCATCTCTGCCTTTTTCATGGAACATCATTTGTCCTCGAGAGGATGACTGACAAACTATGGCATTTCACACTTGGGTATTTAGCAGACCTTTTCTTGAAAATGAATAAAGTGAGCTCACCACCTCAAGGAAAACAGCTGACACCACCTGTTGCGAATGATAAAAATTCGAGGTTTCAAAAAAATTTGAAGTTTCAAGCAAAAATTAAAATTCTGAAAAACTATTGGTCACCACAAACTTGACAGCTTCCTGATACTTAAAGACTTTTCTCAGGAGGTCAGTGGTGACATTAACAAACGTGGATTTTGTTTGATATTGTCTAATGACAGTGTCGCTATTTGGAAGATATGTAAAACTCAGTGAACCATTGTTTTCCAAACGACCAACGCGTGATGTTACAAAATCACGCACGGGTGAAAGATCCATGCAAAGTGAAGACTGACGGATGGATTTTAGTGTAGCAGAGGAGGAAGAGTTCCTGGATATGGTTTCAGATTCCGCAGTGCAATTAACCTTTCAGAAATTACCACTTGTTGAGTTTTGGTGTCGTATCAGTGAAGAATGTGCACAAGTATCAGAAAGGACTATTAAAATCTCCCTCCCTTTTCCAACTACCTATCTGTATAGGACAGAGTTTCGTTATGTATTTCAAAACAACACATTGCAACAGATTGAACGCAGAAGCAGGTGTGAGAATCCAGCTGTCTTCTATTAAGCCAGCCATTAAACAGATTCGCTAAAAACAATACCTCTCCTCACTAAACTTTTTCTAAAAAATAGTTCTTTTTAATAAAATTTGCATAAAAATTGATATAACCTCCATAAACAAAAAAGCTCTCTGGGGTACAATAATTTTTTAAGAGTGTAGAAGGGGGCCGGCCCCGTGGCTTAGTGGTTAAGTGCGCGCTCTCCACTGCTGGCGGCCCGGGTTCGGATCCCAGGCGTGCACCGACGCACCGCTTCTCTGGCCATGCTGAGGCCGCGTCCCACATACAGCAGCTAGAAGGACGTGTAGCTATGACATACAACTATCTACTGGGGCTTTGGGGGAAAAGTAAAATTAAAAAAAAAAAAAAAAGACACAACAAGCAATTTAAAAAAAAAAAAAGAGTGTAGAAGGAACTCTGATGGTATACAGTAATGAAACATTTGGCCTCTCAACGATCTTTCTGGTGTGGAGGGGAAGGGCCAGTGAGGAGCGGACCGAGACAGAAAGGACATTTTCTCCAAGAGCCTGGATAGTCACTCTGTCTCCTCTAGGTGAGCCCCACAGAGATGTGCTACAGGGTGCCTGAAGCCACGGAAAGATATTGAGAAATCTAAAACATCATATTTATATTCAAATAATCATGGATACATTAATAGGTAAGAGACAATTTAAGTGAAAAATTTTAAGGTAAATTAAAAGACTTCATATAAATTCATAACCTGTGGCAGTGCCTGTGCCACATTTTGGAGATAAAATACTGCCTTTTTGTGCATTTAGGGGGTACGCTGGTTGAAGACAAGAAACTTAGAGGAAACAGAGACGTTCAAACCCCTGTTTGTCCACGAGGGGGTGCCAGAGCCAAACAGAAGTTGCCCTTCACTTTTATATGACTTCTGCAAAATGTTTCAGGCACAGACGGAGCTTAGTCTGAGAACTAGTACCGAGTTGACCACGTTTGAGTTTTCTGAGACTATTAAAAAAATGACAGATATTAGGTCTCATTCCAGATTACTTTGATTTAAGAAGGTGTAGGGTACAGGCCAGGAAGCTGTATTTAAAAAAAATAAATTCCCCAGAGGGTTCTGCTGTGCAGTGAGGTTTGGGAACCACAGCTGTCAGAAGCCCATCCAGATTCTTCCCTCTGTGGGGGAACTGTCCCTGAGAATCCACCATTCCTGTTAGTGAGGAATTATAGGAAACTAGCTGAGGGTGTCCTCCGTGCCAGACACTCCCCAGAAGTTCTCACTCTTGACTGGCACAGCGACCCAAGAACTGGCTCCTCCCATCCCATCTGCAGATAATGAAGTAAAGGCTCCGAGTGTTGAAGTGGCAGAGCTGGGACGTGATGCCAGGTCCGCTCAGCTCCAGAGGCCAGGCTACTCTGCCAACAGGCTGGGCGCTGGGGGCACACAGACTCGGGCAGATCCCAGCTCCTGGCTGGACAACACTTCCTTGGTCCTTGGTTTCCTCATCTGGAAAGTGAGATAACAACAGTACCCACTCCTGACAGTTTTATCTGGCACATGGCCGGTATGTGACAAGGGTGAGCTCAGCCCAGAGCACCCCTGCGTGCTGGGAGCCAGCGCCTTCCCAGCGAGGCCCGGGGACTCACTGGTCTCTGTTGGGAGCTTTCCGGAGCTGGTCAGCAGTGACCCTCCACGAGAAGTTGAAAAACCGCATGGCGTTCTCGAAGTAGAGGTCTGGAACTGCAGTGTACTGGACAAAAGAGAGCAAAGTCCAAGATCAGGGCTTGCCCAGGCTGGGAGGCACCTCATATCCTTGAGTGCAAACCCCTTCTTCTAAAACTGAGGAAACTGAGACCCCACATGTTAAGGGACTGGTCTGCAGGTCAGAGGCTAGAAGGGAGGGCTTGGGGCTGCAGGTTTTGGCTCTTCTCTTGGGCCTCACCCTGCTGGGGCCTGGTACCCTCTCCCCTTCAACGACACACTAAGAGCCTCACCCAAGGTGTCAACACCCAGCAGTGTCACAGGGCTGCACGGCCCTTGGGCAGGAACCATCTCCAGTGCTGTCCTACAGAACTGTCTGCAATGATGGACATGTTCCATGCCTGTGTTGTCCAATACAGTAGATGCCAGCCACATGCGGCTACTGAGCATTTCAAATGTGCCTAGTGTGAATTTTAAATGTAAATTAATTTTAATTAATTAAACAGCCATCTGTGGCTTGTAGCTACCACACTGGACAGCACAGATCTCATAAATCAAGCTGCGATCTGTCTCTGAACCGTCTGGGGACAGGCCTTACTGCACCTCGTTCCCACCACTCAGCCCAGTCTTTCAGCTCTTTTCAGGAGCGAGGTTTTCCCTTAGATTCACTCCAGAGCTTTCCGGCTTCTCATCAGGGCTCTGGGAAAATACTGGGCCCTTGGGGGCAGGACTCTGATCCCGTGGGCTCTGCCTGGGCTGCCTCCAGGAGCCTCTGGTCATATGTCACGACACCCTGGAGCATCTTAAATGATTCTCGAGGAAAAAGGCTGCAGCATGAGCCCCATATTCTCAAGTAATTTTAATATTCTTAGGTTTTAAATAAAACCGTGATGAGAGGTTATTATAAAATGCCTGAATTCACAAATTTCAATCACAGAAGATATAAAACTTTACCTTTGGGGGCAGAAGCACAATCCATTTAAAAGAGTAATTTGCCAAAAGCTCTAACCCCAGGGGTGTATCAACCACCCCTGCTGCCTAAATGAAGCTGTAACGCCCACCTGGGATTTACACCTCCTCTTTCCCACCAGCATTTCAAGGTGCAAATGAGAGGTCCAGGTTTCTCTGGGAAGGTGGGGAGGACCCTGGGGGCAGGAGGCAACTTGGGGGCTGGGAAGGAGGAGGTGGTATGAGAGCTCAACTCTTTACTGCACCTCTGATGATTTAGGGGCACCAATTCTCTCTGCACCTGCTAGGATCTGTTACCTCCATTATCTCCCACTCATTAAACGGAGGTGACCACTTCCAGTGGGCACACAGCCCACCGACTGCTGGGCATTGACTGCTGGTGGCTCCAGGGAGCCAGGGCCTCCAGCTGGCCCGGGAGAGGAAGGAGCAGGGAACAGCTTCCTCGTGCCCGATCCACCCCCAAACCTCACACCACAGCATCGCAAGAGGTCTGGACAGTCCTGGTGTCTGCAGCACCCCATCCGGTCCCAGTCTGCCTCTGACCTTTCCCAAGTGGGGGCCCCCATGGGCATCGGGGAATGCAAGGGGGCAGGGTGGGGGCCACTCACGTCGCTGAACACTTTGTCCAGCTCCTTGGGGTCCATGATAAAGTTCGGGTAGCCTATCATGTTGTAGATTGCATCCGCCTGGACAGGAGAGACACAGAGCACAGTGAGTGCACAGCAAGGCTGGCGGGGCTGGCCCCCAGCTCTGTGGGTGCCGGGCTCAGGGTCTGGGCCAAAGGGAAACAGGGCCAGGCTCCTCCCCCCTCAGGGCTTTCACGTCTCCTTCTGGAAAGATTCCTCTCTCGCCAACTTCTACTTACCCTTCGGCTCCCTGCTTAAACGTCACTGCCCAAGGGAAGCCTTCCCTGGCCACCACCCCAGCAGACCGCATCATCGCCTCTCCCTGCACCTTCCCTCACACACTTAGCACGGTTTGTTTTCATGGAGTCATTAACACCCTCATGTGTTCAAGGTCGTCCCTCCATCCTGCTGGACTGTCCACCCCCTGAAGGCAGGACAACATCCACGCCGTGCTCACCAGATATAACTAGTCTCTCCTCACACGTCCTCCTCCACCTGCGGCTGCTGCCCTCCGGGCTCAGCTGCCCCCTTCAGGCACCTGGCGAGCCTCACCTTTTCCTTGGCTGAGTTCCGTGTGTCTTCATCCATCCACTTCAGGGTGCTCAGGCTCTCCTCAAACGCCTTCTTGATCTCCAGGATTATCTCACTGGCCTGAGGAGACAGAAGCTGACCCAGTCAGGCCTGGGTACTGGACTTGCCTAAATGCAATGGGCAGCCCGTGCAGAAGGATATCGCCAGGCCAGAGGCTAAACTCAGGTCTTGGCTCAAAGCCTCAGGCCCCCAGGTGCGGGCTAAAAAGGGGAGCCATAGCCAAGTTTTCCCAACTGGTTCCTTAGAACTCTCATGTCCTGCAGGACGAGCCTGGACTTCCGTAAACAGGGCTCACGGTCAAACACACTAGGAAAGCCTTTGGGAACATTGGAAAAGTCTGTTCCCTACGGGCCTTTTCATACCCTTTAAGTGTAACATGCACTTAAGTGTAACATTCTTTTCCGAGAGGCCTAGAGTATGTAGCCTTTCCCAGACTTACTCGACCACAGAATTCCTTTTTGATGGAATGGCTTTAAAATCCAGAGAATTCGAGTTCTGAGGAGCAGTTTCAGAAATGCTCTGCTCTGGCTGGAGATGAACGGCTGCTCTCAAGGGAAATAAAGTCACGGGCAGACCTGGAGGCTGAAGATTCTAGAGCCGGGGAAGGTGGAATCGTGCAACAGAAAGAGCAGAGGGGCTGCTGACCGCCAGCAGGACTCAGCACAGATGCTGCATCAGCCGCTAACAGGCAAGTCACGTGACAGACTTGAGTCTCAGTTTGCTAACCTTCAACTGCAGACGATACCTTCATAATTAACATCAGTAATAAAAACTGTAACCGTGTAACAGGTACCATTCATTCAGCCCGTTTTGTGCCAATGCTCTTCATATGTAGTATCTCATTTAATCTCCCGCTGCGGGACTGACTTCCCACCTCCACGTTACAGGTGACATGAGAATATTGTCCCAATTCACCCAACCAGGAAGTGGTGAAGCCTGGCTGTCTCCTTGGGCGTAGCATGATGTTCCTCTGCCTGTCACCCGTGGAGTAGGAAAAATGGCACCCTCTGGGCCAGAGCTGCTCTGCCAACATGATCTCACTGGGTCCTTCGCCCCCCTTGGAAGTGGAGATGGCTGGAACAACCCTGCCAGGCCGCCGTGAGGGTTAAATGAGAGAACACAGATGGAGTCCCTGGCACTCAGTAATAGTAGCTGTTCTCAGTAACCCACGTTACTCAAGGCTTTAGAAAATGGGACCTTTGAGTTAAGGCTGGAGCCCTGGCCTGGAGTAGGGAAGGTGCAGAGCAGACGAGAGCATGGGCTGTCAAGTTCACGAGGGGCCATGCGGGTGTGATGTCACAGCCCGTGTCCACAGGGGAGGCACTTACTATGTTCTTGCTGTCCTCGGCGAAGGTCGCTTTGACAAACATGGGGCCCAGGGCAAAGCCCAGGTTGTTTTCCGTGTCGCTCACACAAAACTTCCAGCGAGGAAGACAGGTCTGGAAACAAGAGAGGGTTACTCAGCCTGGTCCTTCTTCCCAACCCCTCCTGTCTGGGAGGTGGCACCAGCTGGGGCCCGTGCTTCCTTGCAGAACTTCAGGGAGACCTTTTCTGACCCAGAGGAAGTTATTTTAGGCACTGGACCAAGAGGCCACGGAATATCCCTCATCACCGCCATCAACTATTTCCTGAATGCCAGGCTCTGCATGCAGCACTTCAAAAATGATGTCCTATTGAGCCATCAAAACAAGCCTGGGAGGCCGGGAGGACGGGCCCCTGACAGATGAGGAAACAGAAACAGCCCGGGGAAGTCGCTGGTGCAGGGTCCTAGAGTGACCGGAGCTCAGACATGCCTGACCCCACACCCTCTGCTCCCACCCTACCTTGTCCTGCCTCCTGGAGGAGGCTAAGAATCCTGGTGGCAAAGAACCTTGGGAAGTTACCTTGCCTACCCCCGAACAACAGGAAAACCTTCAGAGGGCCAGGACCCCAACCCCATTTAAAGCCTCCTAGAGAAAGAACCACCACAGTGGTTCAGGACTTCAATGTCTTGGTCTCACCCACCAGCCCGCTAGCCCCTCGGATGCCTCTGTGTGAGGTGGAGCCAGGCGCCCCGTGGGGCTGCAGCCTCCCAGAGCATAGCTTGGTGACAAGCACCCCAGCTAGTTTCAGCCCCACTCGTTACCCTGCCTAGGCAGCCCTCCGTGGACAGTCTGTATGACCACAGTGGTGGCCCTGCTCATGTAAATCTCTCGCGCCACAGAGGAAGCTGAGCCCTCTTAACCCTGGGGAACAGGTGGTAACACCACTCCAGTTCAGGGTAGCCCGCTTCATAACAGCCCTCAATGGAAACGACCCAAATGCCAGTCGACAGGCAGACAGATAAACTAAATGTGGTATTTTTATACAATAGCACACCACCTGGCAACAAAAGGGAATGAACTCCCAACACAAACAACATGGATGAATTTCGCAGACATTATGTTGAGCAAGAGAAGCCTGACACAAACGAGCACACAGCGTATGATCCTGTCTACACCCATCCACACCTGTCTCAGGGTGCGAGGTAGGGAGTCTGATGGGCAAGGGGCATGAGGACCTTGCTGCTCAGAGGGCGCTGGATAAATGGGAGATGGAAATGTTCTCTGTCTTGGTGGGGTGGTGGTGACATGGTGATTTCATTTGTCAAAACTCAGTGAACTGAGTACTTCACGTATACATTTTATTGTATGCAAATTGTACTTTAGTTAAAAACACTTCTTCCAGGCAAGAAGGAAGGGCACTTAGCCTTCTCTAGTTTAATCCTGCAAGTTCTTTTAAGCTTCCCACCCAGGTGTCCACCTGAATACCTTTCCTGTCCCCTCAGCCCCACCTGCCCTTCCTCAGGTGTGAAGCCTACCCTGGACAGAGGCTGCACCTGGATCTGGCCGAGGCTGACCAGGCAGGAGGTCAGGACCAGGGGATTCTAACTCTTGGCCCCATGGAGGCTCCAGGCTATGATGGGCGAAGCATGGACCGATTCTTCTTCATTGTCTTCCCAGGAGAGGCTTTAGATCAACCCATTCACTCACACATGCATTCATTAATTCACGAATCCAGTGTTCTCTGAGCAGTTCCTCTGCACCCTGACTGTGCTAGGTCTTTGGAATCTAGAGATGAATGGTCCACGGGTCTTGCCCTCAAGGGGCTCAATGAGAATGCCCAGAACATCCAATGGGAGACAGACATGTAATAACAATAACAACGGCAGCAATAGTGGTAAATGTTAATTGAGTGGGGGCTGGGGCCCTCTCCCATAGAATCCTCATAATAACCCTACGAGGCAGGTACTCTCTGTGCTCAGTTTTACAGATAAAGAAACTGAGGCACACAGAGGTTAAAGCACTTGCCCAGGGCTGGCCCCGTGGCTTAGCGGTTAAGTGCGGGTGCTCCACTGCTGGCGGCCCGGGTTCAGATCCCGGGCGCGCACCGACGCACCGCTTCTCTGGCCATGCTGAGGCCGCGTCCCACATACAGCAACTAGAAGGATGTGCAAGTGTGACATGCAACTATCTACTGGGGCTTTGGGGGAAAATAAATAAATAAAATTATAAAAAAAATAAAATAAATAAAGCACTTGCCCAAAGGAATCTCCCAGAGAGTAAGTGGCTGAGGTGGGATTTGAGCCCAGAAAAGCCCGACTCCAATGTCTTCCCTCAAAGAGGCCACACTCACTGCCTCTGAGTCATGAAGTCTCTGCAAGGGCTACAGGATGATGAGAAAAATCTGCACAAGGAGCAAGGGTCAGGGAGTGTTCGTCTTGGAGGTGAGCTACAAGCCAAGGCTGGGATGACAAGGAGCAGGTGGCGGGCCAGCCTCGTCCACCCTGCGCTGGCTGTATTTTCCCTGTTCTTCACTGTGACACAAGCTCCTCTAAGCTGGGGCGGGGAGAGGGGTTTCCCAGCGGGGGTGCCTTCCCAGCTGCCGGAACTCTCAAATCATAAATGGACAGTAACTAACGACAAACAGCTGGCGTGGAGTGCCGTAGCCTTTAGAAGAGACTCTGTGGGGTCCCCTCATGTAATCCCAGACAGCCCTCTGGTAAGCAGGGCAGGATTAGTTATCCCTTGTTACAGATGGGAAGACTGAGCCACCTGCTTCAATTAAGTGATTTGCCCAAGGTTGTGTGGTTAGAAGCAGCATTTCAAACTCAGATCTTCTGACCAAAAATTCCATGCTGTTTCCTTATGTTATGCTCCCTCCCTACAAGGATGGACAACTGGACGCTCTACACAGCTTTACAAATTAAAAGTGTTTTCCCAAATGGAGGCCACTCCCAAGAGGCCTGTGAGATGAGGTCAGGGATGATCTCAAACAACAGATGAGAACACTGAGGCTCAGAGAGGGACAAGGACTACCCAAGGTCACACGGCGGGCACAGGGCTTTGAAGTGTGCTGGACCCAAGCGAATGGACCTGGCCTGGGCCCAGAAGCAGTCATAGTGGGGGTAGGGAGGGCTGGAGAATAAGGAACCGATGAGCAGCATCCTTCACCCTTCAGTCCTGGGGCATCCAGGGACCCCTGGCTCAGAGCCTCCCACCTCCGGGGTCTCCCAGCTGCCCTTGCTTCTGCCAAGGCTGCCCTGTGCCCCACTAGCCCTCAGAACCTCATCAGTTAGAGTAGCACCCTGCACCCTGAGCCTGCTCCTGGGGAGCTCGCTTGCTCGCTCTATCTATTTATAATTGTGGTAGGGCCGGCCCCGTGGCTTGGTGGTTAAGTGAGCGCGCTCCACTGCTGGCGACCCGGGTTCGGATCCCGGGCGCGCACCGACGCGCTGCTTCTCCGGCCATGCTGAGGCCGCGTCCCACATACAGCAACTAGAAGGATGTGCAGCTATGACACACAACTATCTACTGGGGCTTTGGGGGGAAAAGTAAATAAAAAAAATCTTTAAAAAAAAAAAAAAAATCTTTATAATTGTGGTAAAATATACATGAGATTTACCATCCTAACCACTTTAAGTGTACAGGTCAGTAGTTTAAGTATATTTACACTGTTGTGCAATCTCCAGAACTTTTCATCTTATAAATCTGAAACGCTACACCATTTAACAACTCCCCACTCCCCCTTCCCCGCCCCAGCCCCTGTCGATCCCCAGGAAGCTCAGTTTTAACTCCTGGTTCCTCAGAGCAGAGGCTGAGTGGTGCAGACTTTGGGGTCTGGGCTGTGGAATCCGATATACTGGGTTTGAGAGCCCACACTTCATGGACGAGCTGGGCAACTTTGAACAAATCCCCTCCCCTCAATGAGCCTTGGTTTCCTCATCTGTAAAATGGGACGATGATAACAGTTCCTAACACAGAGCTGTTGCAGGAACTTGGTGAGATAATGCCTATAAAAGGCAAACGTTTGATAATGATATGATTTATTATCATTATTATCATCATCATTATCACTAGTGAGTAGCTGAAAGGGCTGAAGAGTTGCAGTCATCCAGACCTGGCTCTGATTTTGAGCTTGGCTGCTTCCTCGCTGGGTGACTTGGGAAATCCCTTTACCTCCCTGAGCCTCAGTCTCCTCATCTGTGTCCCGGGTGGGTGAGCAATGATGCAGGTGCACGCTCCACATAGCCATCTCTCTATCATCCCGGGTCCTGGTCAGAACCTTCCTGTTTAACGTCCCAGGGGAGACCAAGTGCTCCAGGGGACAGAGTCCACGCCTTGTCACGTCTGTGACCTGAGGGCTCACCCAGGGCTCGTCCAAGTCAGGTGCAGTTGGAGCAGGAGGGTGGGTCAGCGAGGCAGGGCAGCTGGCTCTTGCCCTTGACGTTTCCCACAGGGCCAGGGCGGCTCTCATGGCTGAGGCCCTGTGGTGCCCTCAGAAGCCCCTCTTGTCAGGAGCAGGGCTTGTTCCCAGCCACCCTCTCCCTCAGTCTCTTTCCAGGCAGTGTACATGGGGATGGGAAAGAAAGGGAGACCTTTTCCCAGGATGAACTCCAGGGCGGGGGACAGGAGCCCACACCCTGCCGTTTTCTGCCCATCCTTATCTGGCTCCGCCTACTCCACTAGACTCTGGGAGGGACCAAGGGGGCAGGGTCCAGCTGGAGCCAGCTCTGCCTGCCCTCTGGGGTCTCACTAGATGCTGTCCGGGGTGGGGGCAGGGTGTGCCAGGAGGGCTTGGCACCGCAGTCTTGACTGCTCTGTGGCTGGGGCCTAGCATGGGGTACCCCATCAGAATATATGAGGACTGGCCGGTTCCTATCGCCTCCCTCAGCAGACGGGGCTCTTGGGGCACATGCGCACCTCACTTGTCTCAGGACCCCCACACTGGGCTCAGAGCCTGGCACATGGGGGCACAAGTTCCACGAATACACATCTGTCAGCTGCACGAATGAGGGCAACTGCCCCTTCCTTGGGGAAAAGGTGGGAGTGGCTGGCAGGGGTCATGGGGGGCGGCATTTAAAGGTGGGTGGAGACCCCGTGGTCTGGGGCGAGGAGGACAACATCAGTGAGCACTCGTGTCACACTTGCCACGAGCCACGTGCTGCTGCAAGTGCTTTATGTTTATGGGGAAGAAGTAGTATTATGGGGGGGCCCCTGTGTAAAAGGGGGATGATGATGGTACCCACCTCGCAGGGATGTGAAGATCACACGGGTCATACAAGGAAAGCGTTTATCATTATCACCATCGAGAAGGAGTTGGAAGAGAGAGAACAGAAGCTATGCTTTGCTGTAAATTAGCTAAGTCGCTAAGACTCCTCTTTACTTTTTAAGACTTGGTGTAACCACCTCCTCCTGGAAGCTTCTGTCCACCCCCGGCTGGCTCTGAGCCCAGGGACAGCTGGGCAAACCCCTTCAGTGGCCCTCTTCATTCTCTGCCTTCCTCCACCGTCCTCACGAGTTCCATGGCCCTGGAGGGTCAGGGCCTGGCACACAGTAGGTGGTCGGCACTTGAATGGGAATGCACAGTCACAGGCTCACCTTCTTGGTCCCGTACATGACTTCCATGAACTTCTCATCGGCGTCCTGAAAGCGCTGATCGAGGAAGGAACTTGTCTTGCGCACCAGGTTCCAGATCATGTAGTTGTTCAGCAGGCTGGGGCAAGAGGAGACCAGACAGGCTCAGAAGTGTCCCGGGGCTGGAAGTGTCCCAGGCCTTCCCCCACTGACCTCTAGGGGGCGCTCAGACCTGGCCTTCTGATCCCAGGCTCTTCCCCACCTGCCCCAGTTTGGCTGGTTACTGCTCTCCAAGCACACGAAACATCAGCTCTGCAAGGACAGAGGTCAGGCCTTCTGTGGAAAACCCCTCAGTGCCTAGTGCAATGACTTGTACACCACCAGTGCTCCCTAAATGCTTGCTGCTTAGCTGCCTTTTGTCTGGAAGCTGTGAAGCAGCAGTGTGGAGACTCACCCTGGACGGTGCCTGTTACTGGGTGGGAGCACGGAGGAGGCTGCTATTTCCAAAGCTCGGAGATGCCCGGCCATAAGGCCAGAGACAAGAAAGGGGGCCTAAGAATCGGAGGGGCAAGAAAGGAAGCCCTGCCCAGCCAGGCCAAGGTCTCTACGAAGGACAGCCTCACTGCCTCCTCCCCTGGGGCACAGAGAACCATCTGTGGCTGTTGTCACCTTTGCAAAGAAGTCATCTTTGCACAAAGAGATGTTCAGTACGGTGAACATCTAGCCTCAAACTGGAACTGACCTAAATGTCTGACAACAGGGGAAGGAGTGAGTGAATAATCATATTTATACTCAATGGAATACTATGTCGCCATGAAAAATGAGCTCTGCAGAGGATTTGGGATGACAGGGGGAAAATGCTTATGATGAAGGTAAAGGGGAAAGCAGACTATACATGCAGTCATAATAATGGGAAAAAAAAGGAACCTTGTATTAGAAAATTCATCTCTCTCTCTCTCATATACAGGCTTGCTTTCTACATATGGACATTCACAAATAGACACACACATCCCATAAGATCAACAGTAGTGTTTTGGGTAATTTTAATTTTTTTGGTATAATTTTCAAAAATTTCTATAACAAATCTTTGAAATAAAAAAGAGTCATAAATATTAAGTAAAAATATTAGTTAACATTTACTGAGTCCCATTCCATGGCAGGCACTATGTTAAAACACTTCACAGGGATTATTTCACTCACAACAACCCTACCTGGTAGGTGCTATTTGTATCCCCACTTTACAGGTGAGGAAAAGGAGCCTGGGAAAGATGAGAAACCTGCCCAGGGCAACAAGCTGGTAGGCAGAGGGGCCGGGTGCCCTGCCGCCTTTCATGGAAGCCAGCGCAGGGCCCATTTTCCCGAGTCAGTCTGTCACCCCTCCACCCCCACCCACTCTGCCGGAGAAGAGGGCAGCAGTGAGTGACCCCAGAGGCCGCTGGGTGGCCCTTACCACTTGTCGGTGGTGTTGATGAGGGCGGAGACCTGCCCAAGGTACTCCTTGTCATAGATGACAATAGGCTCAGATTCATTGATCTCCACGGGGTAGAAGATGGTGTTGAGGAAGGGCAGCCAGTTGATGGCGGGCGCCAAGGCCTGGAAGGGAAGAGGACAGTGTGACTCTGGCCGGCGGATTCTCCTCAGAGCCCAGGTCTCCAGGACGTTCTTCTGAAGGTGTCATCATGCCTTCCGCCCTCGGCCAGAGCGAAGAGCTGGAAGCTGTCTGCAGCACTGGGCTGGCTTTTGTCAGGGACGCTGCAGATGGAATTCCAAGGAGTCAGACACCAAACTTGAACTTGAAACAGAACGAGGATGGAGTAAGAGGGGTGACAGCTGCAATACCGTGCATCAAGCCCCTCCTGTGCCAGGCGCCACTGCAAACGACTCACACGGCTTCTCTGTGGGCCCTCCTGACAAGCCTAGGCAGTCGGTACTACTAACCCCACTTTATTCTTGAAGAAACTGAGTCTCAGATGGGCCCATAATGGATAAACACCTAGAATCTGGAGCCAAACTGTCTGGGTTCATATTCCAGCTCTTACTTCCCAGCTGTATAACTTGAGTAAGTTGATAAACCCCTCTGTGCCTCGGGATCTCATCTGAAAAGTGGGGATCATCATAATAACAGAATCCACTTCACAAAATTAGTGTGAGGATTAAACGGGTTAATCCTGTTTGTTCTACTCAACACGTGTTTCTGGAACATCAGTTGCCTCTATATGATTGGTCTTCTGTAAGACTGTAAATTCAAGAACAAGAGTCGTATAATGTGTAACTGCTTTGGTCCACAGGGGATTTTTCTCAGGCATGGATCTGGGAAAGCAAGAGTAGAATGAGAACTCCAGCAAGAAAGGAAAAGCCCTCAGGTCAGCTGATGCACACACAAGAAGTGGTCAGTTCTATTTTAAGATAATTTAAGATGCGCCCCTCACTGGGGCTCCCTCCCCACAGAGGCACACGCCAGCTGTGCATAACTCACAGCTTCTAGCAGGCTGCCCTCGCTCTGGGCCCACCCTGACAGCAGCCCCACGCTCAGAGCTCCATCTGTCTGCAGGGTCTCAGGGCGCACAGCCAGCGTCTCCACTGCCCACCAGCCAGCCTCCAGCCACGCTGGGCTCTCTCTCAAGGTCCCAATTATTGTTTTGTGAGTGTTTTGATTACAAAGTCGCACAACCTAATCATTGCTAAAGTTCTACCAAGAGTGGTCCTGGGCCTGTCTGATTCCAAATTCTGTTCTCTGTTCCCTCGAAAAAGGGCAAAACGCAAGACAAATAAAGGAAGTAAGAGAAGCGTTATAAATGGCCTTCATACGGGAAGATCAATCAATAATGTAAATTCAATCTATAATCTCAGAGGAATCTATAACCTGCTGGTAAATACCTATGACGCCATCAATGAGAGAGGCAGCCAGAAAAACCTCCCACTTGACAGATGCTGAATTTGCAGATGAACTAAGGTGACTTTCCCAGTGTCACATGGTTAACTGGTGACTGTGTGGTGTAAAACACAAGTGCATTCGTCTGATTTTAAAGGGCAGCTCAGACGCTGGGGAACAAGGACCTCCAAGGACAGAGGAGGGCAGGTCCTACAGGCAGTGGCGTGCTGCTAAAGTTGAACAACCGGCTCACCGACGGCAGGGGTTGATCTGTATTCCCACCATGACCTATTGCAAACCACCCACAGAGTCGGGAAGAGCTGTGCCCAGTGGGCTCCAGCATATCCCTGCCTGCCTGTCTGCCCAGCAGCGAGATGAGCTGGGAAGAGCCCCGTCTCTCAGTGAGAAGACCTGGATTGGAGTCCCCACCACGAGTCAGTTCTGGGACCTCAAGCCATTTTGTAGTCTTTCTGTAAAATGAGGAGAACGATCCCCCACCCAGGGGTGGCTGCTCTGTGCCCTGAGGGACTGGCTTGCTCAGTAAAGCTGAGTTTCTTTTCTCCCTAGTCTATCTGCTCTCTCTCTCTTCCTGGCAGGAGCCCCTTGGGCAGGTAACCTCTGGGGCTCCCCCTAACGTTTCTGTGGCTGCAGACCGTGGAGGTGTCCAGGTGAGAAAGTCAAATAGGGCTCAACACTTAGGAGCCACCTGCCTGCATGACCTGCTGGCAAAGACCCCGGGGAAATTCTCCAAGTCTACAAAACGTCATTGTTGATGCGATTAACAAGAGCGTCATAAACTGCAGGTGACTGGAACTCTGATCAGGGTACAGATATCAGATGGTGATAAATCCCTGTGTACCTAACACGCAGGCCTGTTCCTTTAGGGCGAGCTGGTGTTCTGTGCAGGTAAATTCCCACAAATCTGAGATAAGGTGTGTGTTGAATACCAGAATTTTCACATTTTCAATCTTTACTGCTTTAGCAAACGCCTAACTTAAACACGTGTGCCTAGGTCCGTCTCCATGGAGATGGCTGTTTTAACCAACTAGGACATTCCACTTGTGACTCAAATCCTTTGGGGCACACTGATGAGCTCTATTTTCCACACCCGCAGCCAAAGAGGACTGCTGGTCATGAACCAACCAGCTCAAGTAGGCTTGCAAAGTGGGAGAGAAAAGAAAGATGCTATCAGGCTTTATCTCAGCTGGAGAATTTAGAGCAGAGGATGGAGCTCATTCCCAAACAACTTTGGTGTGGAAGGTCCTAGAAAGGAATGGAAAGGTCCTCAAACCCCCAGAGAAGCAACAGAAGGACATTTGATTGATGGCTCTGAATTCAGACTCTGCTCGGGGCTAGCCTGGAGCCATTTTGTACTCCAGCAGGGCTGGCCTAGAATTACACTGTGAAGGCTGGAGTGCCTTTCCCTGAGTCACCTGGAATATGGGAATAAAACCAAATTTCCAGATACCAGGGAACAACAAGGTATTCTCTGTCCAAAGGTGGAATGAATCAAATTGATTGAGCTGGAGACGTGGGCTGGCATCACTGATAACAAAGGAATAATACTAATAATGACTATTATAATATATATTTGAATTGTGCATGTCAGTTTACAAAATGAAATCTCATCCCCCGCCTCATCTCATCCTCTCACAACCCCGTGGGCAGGCCAGCCAGAGACTCTTATCTAGGACACCAGGCTTCAGGGGTCCAGGACTTCTTTAAATGTTAGACAATTTTTTTTATATGTACCTATGCTCTTTTCTTTTGGGAGACACGCCATACTTTTCACCTTGTTCTCAAAAGACCCTGTGACTTAAAGTTAAGAACCACTGAGCCTTATGAGTGGCTGCCTGTCATTTGTCTCTGTGTTCTGGAACAGAGCAGGTGTGAATGAGCAAACAAAGCCCCATTTTACAAGGAAAGGAACCCAAGGCTCAAAGAGGGGGGTTACGTGACTTGCCCAAGGTCACACGGCTCGTGGCAGGGCTGGGCCGGAGCAATCTTCTGACTCCAAGCCCAGGGCTCACACCACTCCAGGCGGTGGCCTCTGCTAAAATCCTCCCCACCCGGGCAGCTCTGCAGCTGGGAGGAGGAAAAGCCTTTCTTTCTTGCTTGGAAGAACAGAGCCAAAGCAATGATGACTGGGCGCCTGCTGGTAGAGTCTGGAAGCCATGCTGGGGCTGATGTGCCCAGGGCCACAGTGTCTTCTCCTCCACTCTGGCGGCAGTCAGGTGGCATCACGGCCACTACGGGGGGCTGAGGGACTGCTGTGGCTCTCTCAGGCTAAAAACCGGGCGGCTGGAGAAAACCAAATTATGCTGCACAAACAGCATCTCGCTTGACCTCTTGGCCTCAGAGCAGAAAAACAGTGCCAGATGGTGCCCAACACAGGCTGCTGGTCTCCATAACAACCCACCCAGCACCACTCACCCCGATGCCAGCTCCTCTGGGGACCTAATGGGCAGCTGGCACCCAGAAGGAGGCTCTCCTTTCCTCATCCCCAGCCTCTGCAGGGCTGCACCTCCCGTGGGACACTGGGTCTGCCCAGCTACTGCTCACCCATTCCTTAGACTCATCTTCCCTGGCTTGGCCCACCCCTGGCCCCAGTGCTCTGCTTCTCTTGCCCAAAGCTCTCCGCAAGAAGTCTGGGATTGTTCCCTCACTGGTGGCCCCACTCGCCTAGAAGCACGTCAAGAGCAAGGCCCCAAGGTGGCCCCATATGTGCTCATCAGAGGGAGGAATGAAGGAGAAAAAGGGTAGGGACCTAGGTGTTCGTGCTGAAAGGAGAAGGAAATGAGCCAAACCTTAACGGATGGGCAGGACTCGGCTGGACAGAAAGTAGAGAAGAAGGGAGGAGACATTTTGGTGGAGCCCCACACAAGTGGCCCAGACATGTTCCCCAGCAGGGGAGCGAGGCCTAGCAAGCATCCCTGGGCGATAGCAGGAAACAGGAAGATAAAACGAGGCCATCTGCTGACTCTTCGGCAACCTCGGGGGCCTGGGATAAGTCTGGACCCCACCACCTGATGAACTGGAAAGAAGGAACTGGCTGGCAATCAACTTGCCACCCTCAAGTCCCAAGCAGCCAGCAGGGTAAAGCCTTTGGCAGGGGCTGACCGACAGAGGGGACGTCAGCTTCTCAGATGGGTTAAACCCAGTTACAGAGAGCATCGCAGTCCTGACCCCAATCCCGCTACACTTCCAGGAGGTCGCCAGGAGACGCAGTCAAGAGCAGAGCTTCAGCAAGCCAAGCCTGAGTGCAACGCGCAGTTCCCCGGCCACTTAGGAGCCTCGAAGCCTTGAACATGTCACTTAACCTCCTGGCTTGGAAAGGCAGAAGTGACCACAGCACCCACTCCTCACGTTTATTGTTTGCTGCTCAGCAAGTTTGATGTTCTTGGCGCTCAAGAGACTGGAAATGCCCAATCAAAGTGAGCTATTATTATCATAGCCAGAGACTCTCCCCAGGGAAATGCTGTTACACAAAAGCAGCCCAGCGTAGGGCAAGAGACTAGCTTTGGAGTCATTAGCTGTGTGGCCTTCAGCAGGCAACTTTACATCTCTAAGCCTCAGTTTTTCCCTCTGTGAACTGGGTATAACAACCATCCCTGCTTCATAGGGTTGTTCTGAGGATCTGACGAAGTGGGTGTAAAAACCTCCAGCCCAGTGCCCTATGTCCCGAGCCCTGTGGCTATCCTAGCCTCCATCTCAGCCCTCGCTCAAGTACCTGCAGCTCGGCCGCCGTCACTTTGTGGTAGATGAGCTCCTCATCCCGGCGCTTCTCCTGGGGGATGGTGATGTTGGCCAGCGCTGTCTCAAAGTCCAGGATCTGTTGCATCTGGGGCCGGATGTTGTCCTCGTCCCCTCCGCCCAGCAGCTTCCCCAGCTGGACCATGTAGTTCAGGTATCCTGTCAGCACCTGTGGGACCCACCATCCCCAGTCTGTCAGTGGCTGCCACTCACTGCCCACAGGGACACAGGGAGCAGGCCTGGGCAGGGCCAGCTGTGGCCCAGCGCGGGGTGTGAGGGGGCTGGGCGCTTCCCCCAGGAGACCTGCAGGAAACACAGCTTCAAGAATGATTTTGGTGCTGCGCCTCTCCGCTGGCTCCCCACGGCCCTCAGGAGAAAGCCACAGGCCCCCACGGGGGTTGGTCCCTGCTGTCCCCGCCCACACTCCCTCCCAGATGCTCCTCACATGAAAGCCGCCAACGGGGCCATCTTTCAGCTCTTGGAAGGCACCTTTTCTGAACCACCCTCCTCTACCGTGCCCCCAGATATGAATTACGTCCTGTTAAACTTTCTCAGTCACCCATCACTTATCACAATTTGTCATTATGCCTCTACTGGGAGGTTAGTTAATTAACATCTGCCTCCTCTACTAGACTCAGCCCCGTGGGGCAGGGACCACGCCGGGCTCGTTCACCACTATCTCCCCAGCATCAGGCACTTCACAGACGCTTGCTCAATACAAGTTGGTGGAAAAATGAACGGACAGATGAGGAACCTCAGGCCAGGTCTCCCTGGGACATCACGAGAGGCAGCCGGGGGGAGGTAAGGTCATGGGCTTTGGAGTGAGTAGATCTGGATGTAAATCTCAGTCTCAGCATTTATTGGCTGTGTAACCACGAGCAGGTCACTTAGCATCTCTGGGCCTTATTCCCTCCTCTGTAGAAGGCAAGGTAAAAATAATACCCTAGTGACAGATGAGGTGAACGAAGTTCAGAGACGTTCACTATCTGCGGGGTTACTGGGAGGGCCAGAGGTGATGTATATAGAAGGCTTAGCACCCACAAATGGTGGTGGCTGTTATCGCTGCCTTGCTCTAGAATAGGGACAGATGACACCTGTCCCCTGTCTATTGTGCCTGCGATGCGTGAATGTGAAACAGCCAGCCTAGGGCCCCCTCACCTGCCAGGGACAGCCCGTCACCCATCAGGTAAGTGACAGCTCTGTGCTCCTCTAGCTTCAAAGACCTGCACGGGGGGACACTGAGGGGACACTGAGTGGGGTGAGCCACGGAGAGAGGTGGGCTGGGGGCAGGGGCCACTCTTTCTGAATACTATACTCACCTTCTCATTTTCGGTTTTGTTCAGGTAATAGTCCCTTGACGGTAAGCCCAGGCCAGACTGGTCCACCTGGAGAGACAGGCGGGAGTGAGAGGGCATCTCCCATTGCACATGCTCACTGCATGGCCTCCGCCCACCCTGGGGACGGCTGGCACATGGCAACAGGGCCAGCTCGGGTCCCAGCAGGAGCATGAACTGGTTGCTGGGGCCACCCCTGGGATGGGCCCACCCGGGGCGGGGACAGATACATGGGGGGCTGCATTCCTGCCCACATGCGTGGTCAGCCACAGGGACTGTGGGCCCTTCTGAAGGGCCAGACAGAGCCACCCTCCTCCTTAAACACCTCCTAGCCTTGGCAGAGCACCTCAATTTCATTCAGCACTTCCCAAGATGGTACAGTGGTTAAGAGCCACTCACAAGCTGTGTAACCTTGGTCAAGTTACTGAATTTGTCTGATCTGCAGGTTCTTCATCTGGAAAACAGGGGAAATAATATCTAACCCTCAGAGCTGGAACAAAGATTCAAGGAGAAAGTGCCAGTAAAAAGCTTGCCGAGTGCAGGTAAGGGAGGGTCAATTCCTGAAAGCTACTCTCAGAGCCTTATGGGCCAGACCTTGACATACTTAGAGTAGCGTTATAGTTCATTAGATTGATAAGGAAACTGCACCTCAGAGAGGTTGAGGCACTTGCCCAAGGTCACACAGTGAATGAGTGGCAGAAATAGGAGGGAACTTAGCCTTCCTGACCCCCAGCCTGGGTTTCTCGCTTCTGCATCTGAGGGTGGGAGCCAGTGCTGGGGTCCCCCTGGGTGTGCTGACACTCAGTCTGGGGCTGGCTCTGGCAGGAAGAGCTGGACTCAAAGCCACTCCAAGCAGAGCCACAAAGACCGGAGGTTGAGGTAGGGGGACCAGGAGGTGGCTCTAGCTGTCCTGGAGCCCACGGTGACCAATTAGAACCCCAAGGAGTCATCTGTGCTCAGTGACCCCACCTCCCCAAGCACAGCAGGCTACCCTTTCATAACTTCTTGCCTGTAAAAATCTCGTGGTTGGGAGCCTCCAGAAATAACCCAGGCTCAGAAACCAGCAGCCTGCTGCCCAGGGCAAGTCTCCCTACCCCAGCGCTTGCTAAACTCAGAAGAGACCATGAGGTCACACCCCTTCCTCCTCCTGTGGTCCAGGCTGGCTCACCTGGATCACGTTGCTGTTGGAATTCTTGGAGTCGGCGCTGACGTAGACGGAGAAGAAGGGCGAGGTGCGGTAGTGGGAGGTGACCACCTGCAGGGTGTCCTGGAAGTTGTCCTTGTCCCAGGGACCTGTGATGTTCCAGCCCCCGAGCTGTGGGGAGAGAGAGGGAACAGGGAGGTGATGAGGTGGTGGGGGACCCGGGTGTGAATTCTGCTTCTGGGGCTGACCTGCTCTGTGAACACTGCAGCAGTCAACTGACCTCTCTGAGCCTCAAGAGCAAACAAAAGAGATGGTCTTCATTAGGGGTTTCTGACCAGTGGGCAGGAGATGCTGGACAGAGCAAGACTTATCCCAGACCAGCGAGCCATGAATCTACACAGTGGCTGCTCCCTGGATGGCGGGGGATGGGGATGGGAAGGAGATCTTGCCTGTAGTCTGTTCACTTTTTGAATACTGAATCACACGGCTGTAATTCCTAGTAGAGCATAAATTCAATCTTGCCTATGGAAAAAAAAAGGCTCCATATTTTTTAAAAGGTTGATAAGCTATGGTCTGTACTTCAGTTTCTCTCAGAGTTGGGATTTTGTTTGTTTGTTTTTGTTTTTGGTGAGGAAGATCGGCCCTGAGCTAACATCTGCCAATCCTCCTCTCTTTTTGCTGAGGAAGACTGGCCCTGGGCTAACATCTGTGCCTATCTTCGTCTACTTTACATGGGATGCCGCCAAGCATGGCTTGACAAATGGTGCGGCGGTGCGCACCCGGGATCCGAACCGGCGAACCCCAGGCCGCCACAGCAGAGCGCGCACACTTAACTGCTTGCGCCACCGGGCCAGCCCCAGAGTTGGGATTTTTTTAATCTCCTTGGTCCTCTCTGGCTCAGCACAAGCTGGCATGTGGGGCCTGTGCCAGAGAGGAGAGACCGTACGGTCCCCAGTGCCCACAGCTCCCACCCCTGCCACAATGCCTTCCCAGCACCGAGCTAGGAGGCAGGGCCTTGAAGGAGCACGGGACAGCCAGAAAACATCCACGGCCACCCTTCTGTGTGCGCCAGGCAGCCTGGCCAGCCTTGGGCGGCCCCCTCGGAGTCCATCCAAGGCCAACTGGGAGGTGCCCAGAAGAAAGGCTCACCCTGCAGGAGGAAGGGGAGGCCCCAGCTCAGGGCGCCTCCTCCAGGGAGGGCTCTGCTTCTGGTCCAAGACTTTCTGTTGGGGGCTGGCCCGGTGGTGCAGTGGTTAAGTGCGTGCACTCTGCTTTGGCGGCCCGGGGTTTGAAAGTTCGGATCCCGGGCGCGTATCAACGCACCGCTTTTGTCAAGCCATGCTGTGGCGGTGTCCCATATAAAGTAGAGGAAGATGGGCACGGATGTTAGCCCAGGGCCAATCTTCCTCAGCAAAAAGAGAGGAGGACTGGCATCGGATGTTAGCTCAGGGCTGATCTTCCTCGCAAAAAAAAAAAAAAAAAAAGACTTTCTGTTGATTCTTCTGCAACGTACCCCCCGACACACAACACGCCCTCTGAGGAAAAGGAAGCAGCAACATTTCCCTGTAAATATGGCCCTTGTCCCACACACAGATGCAGAGAGACACACATATGTGTGACAGACATCTACAACAGATGCCGACATACATCCCCACACTAACACACACAATATTCCCACCCACACAGAGAAACACACACACACACACACACACACACACACACACACTCAGCCCCCACAGGCTCTACAGTCCAGCTGGCCGAGGTGTGAGGTGGCCAGGTCCCCATGGTAGCTGAGAGCTGAGGTGAGAGCCAGAGGGGCAGGCAGGTGACATGGGCAGGCGATCGGGAACGTCTGCCCGGGGAACTCACCTTCTCAATCAGCTCCATCAGGGGCCTGGCCTTGAGCTCCTCGATTCTGGTTTCATTCATACATGCCCGGTAGTACACTTGGGCCTTCCTTTCTGCCTCACTCACACTAGCCGTGGAGTTCTCTGGAACAAGAGACAGCAGAGTTTGCAACGTGCCCCATCTGCACACTAGGTGGCCCCGGCTGAGTCCTCAGAGCCTCGGTGTTCTCAGCTGTAAACGGAGCTAGCATTTCTGCCCATGAGGCAGCGGGGCGGAATTCAATCACACGGGTATGTGACGGCCCCGGGGCAGAGCCTGGCAGACTGGAGGTGCTCCCTAATTTTAGCTGACTGCAAATAAGAAGAGCATACCATGTTTCTCCCACTCTGCTGGTCGGGTTCGTGGACATGTCCCTAGGTTGGCAGCACAGGCTACCCCACAGGGGGACAGTCTGCTGGCCAACGCATGGCCCAAACACCCCTGCCTGGTGCGTGGGACAGAGACATGCTTACTTTTCAGAACCCAGATGACCCTTCTTGTGGTAAAGACTGGAGTTGGACAGAAGCTTTAAAGGCCTCATTCATTGTGAATTTACCTTCCATTTCCTCCTCAGAGGGGCCGGGCATCATGTTCATCATGCGACAGTTGACTCAGAGGGCTGCTTGCCATTTCCCATTCCAACCTCGGCAAACAGCATCGCAATCCCTTACACTGGGACACCCAGGAGACTCTGTCCCCTTCTCCCTGCCCTCAGAGCCCTGGTCCGGATGCCACCTGCTGAGGGCCACGCTCCTGTATGTGCACAAGCACCAGGGAGGGTCCTGGCTGCACCCCTCGAAGGCAACGACTTCCTGCTGTTTAGGTCACGAAGGGCCTACTATGTGCCAGGGCTCCTGTGCCTGAGCCGTCATCCCAGAGCTCTGCTCCAGACCACGCCGAGTCCCTGCCCTCTCAATTCCCTCTGTCTGGTTCACTCCCTCCCTGGGAGACTCCTCGCTGCTCCGGCCACTTTTCCTCCTTTCAAACTCATTTCTCCCGGACCCTGAAACTCCTTCTTTGTCTTCCTTCAGACTCCCCTAACCCTACGTCCTCCACGGGACTTTTCTAGCAGAACTTTTATCCGTTCATCCACTAAACAGATCGATCCGAGATGATTACTCCATGCCAGGCTCTGTGTCTTTTGGGGACACAAAAGACAACGTCCCCATGAACTTCCTTTCCAGCGTGAAGACACAGATAACGAGAAACACATGAAGAAAAAGCTCGCCCTGGCCCTTGTGCATTGGACCCTGTCAGACCCTACAGCCTTCAAGGCCTCTCTCAGAGCCCATCTTCTCTTTGAAGCCTCTCCTAAGAGGTTCATCCACGAAGGCTCTCAACAGAGAGCACCTACGGGGAGCCAGGCATGGGGCTGGGCACCAGGCTTTACAGACACGAATGCGTACTTCCTGCCTCCAAGGAGCTCACGGTCTAATGTGACCACAGACACGCAAAGAAATGGCCGAGAGACACCAAAGTGCTTTGATTAACGCAAACAGTTTTGGAGCCCAGAGAAAAGTCACACCCTTCGGTGGGGTGGGGTGGGGTGGGGTAGGGTCAGGGGGCCTGCTGAGAACATTCTACTTGAGTTGGTTCTTAAAGATGAAAAATTCTTCACCAGGTAGAAATGAAGGGAAAGGGCGCTGGGTTTGGGGGCAGTTGGAGAGCATGAGGGAAAGCAAGGAAGCATAAGAGGGCGTGATGTTTCGAGAAAAGACATCCACTTGGCGTAGCCTGTTTCCAAGGGCAGGAGTCATTTCCTGACCAGTCTAATCAGCTTTCCCAGCCCTCATCCCGAGAGCTCCCCTGCCCCCCAATCCTTACCATAAACAGCATCATGGTTTTCAATGGTCAGAGAGCATCAACTCTCGGTCCTACTGAGGTCAGGGTGACAGCCCTGAAGAGGGACGGGACCAGCCTGGGCTAGTCTGAAGGGAGATATGGACACAGAGGCCCAGGGGCCTGCAGGATGAGGGGCTATGGAGGGTACACACGGCCCTGGAAACACCTGCGTGGCCCCCACGCTGGACTGGGGCTATGAGAAGAGGCCTCCCGGAGGGGAGGGCAGCAGCGGGGAGGGCTGCGAATTCTCCCTGCCCCTGAGGCTCAGGAAGCAGAACATCAGAGAAAGTGAAGGGGGGTTCCCCAACCCCCTTCCAGGGCCTCATTTCTATGACAACACCTCCCAGCAGACAGGAAAGCAAGAAAATTGTCATTGCTCGCCAGACCCCTGAAGCAGCATCTCACCATCCACAACTGGCTCTGACCATGACCCTGAGATGCCGGGTCAGTGTCGGGGGAGGTGCCCTGTGTGCTCTGGCCACGAAAGGGCCTGGTACCTCCCCTCCCACCGCCCCAAGGCCACCAAGATAAGAGGCCCAAAGGAGGAACAGCCTGGCTGTGCTCATGACAGGCATCCCACCCCAGCCGCTAACACCTGTACACAATCCCTGAACGATCACTGGGAGAGAGGGAACGCACCCAGAGAGGGAACGCTCCTTTCCCCTTCGCTGAGAGGCTGCCGCTGATGAGTTCAAACTTCCTTCCTCCGAGCTCCACACCCTGCGTGTCACGTCCACTCGTTTTCCCACAAATGTTTACGAAGTTCCTATGGTTTGGTGGCTGCTGGGCTGGGTATGGAGGATGCAGTGGGCAACACAGACACGGGTCTGCCCGCATGAGGCCCGCAGCCTGGTGGGTGAGACTCACAGCAACATGACAATCACAGAGACGATAATCTGATTACACAGCGGGTGAATGCTGTGAGGAGAACGTGGCGGGGGATGCCTCCTGAATGCCGGGAGGCCCTGAGGGAGGATGGCGGGGGGAGGTCCCAGGGAAGCCTCGCCAGAGCTCTGGGGATGAAGGATGAGTGGACGTGGGGGCTGTGCTTGGGCTGCCTCGCCTACTAGTCCGTGTCCTAGTGATCCCTGTTCCCCAGCACCTGGCGGGCACACGGCAGCCCTCAGCCACGTTCACTGAAAGAACACAGCGTCCTTTTGATGGGGAAGGACGCGGTATCTGGGGGACCAGAGGGTGAGGAGGCCGGTGCCTGTCAGAGACTTGCACAGGGAGAAAGGAGGCAGGTGGGGCAGGAAGGGACAGGAGGAGTGTGGGCCCCATCAGGGGTTGGCGCTCACATTCCTGTATCCCCACGCCGACGCTGGCTGGGGCAGGGGCCTGGGAGAAGGTAAAGCTCCTCCACTGCTCCAGTCGCCTCCCTCTGGCTCACGGAGCCCATCGGGACAACCCACAGCACATTCTCCCACCGCCTCTCCTCCCTCCCCACCTACTACCTGGCAGGCTCCAGGGGATAAGAGCCGAAGTGAGATGGCCAGGGGGAGGCACTGCAACAGACCCGGTGAGCGACGATGGGGGCTCGGGCCAGCTGGCAGCAGAGAAGGGGCGAGAAGCAGTGGGAGCATGAGAGAAACAGGACTCAAGAATGCTGCCAAGTCTCCTTGGCCTGAACAAAGGGTGGTGGCTAATTGAGATGCGGAAGGCTGGGGACGGGGCAGGTTGGGGGAGTGGAGTAAGCAGTTCAGTTTTAGACAGTTTACGCTGGAGATGGCTGTTAGAGGCCCAAGTGGAACCCGGGGTGGGGAGTTTACAGAGCTGCTGTCTGTTAGTTCAAATATTGACTGGAGTATACAAATTCCCTACAATTGTCTATAAGGTCCTATATCACTCATTTTCAACAGGGGCAATACTGCCCACAAGGGGGGAGAGAATTCGTTCTTAGGGGGCAGAAACATTTTATTCTTTTTTTGTATAGATATAGTACATAAACAGCTATACAGTATATCTGTGGTATTAAAATTTTAGGAGGAGGCAATAATGAAAAAAGTTGAGAAACAATGCCCTGGATGATCTGGGCCCCGCCACCTCCCGGCCGCCATCTCCCACCTCGTCTCCTGCTCCTCTCCCTCTTCCTCCCGCGCTCCTGCCCCAGGGCCACCATGCTCACTGTTCCTCCTGCCTGCCACACTCTTCCCCTCACATCCACGTGGTCTGTTCTCTCACTTAATTCAAGTTTCTGCTCAAATGTCCCCTCCTCTGAAAGCCCATCCCCTCTTGGCCGCCTCTTCTCTCTCAGGCCCCGCATCCTATTTGATTTTTTTCACAACCATATTATTTATTTAATCCTTTATTTGTTTATTGTCTGTCTCCCTGCTGGCATGTGAGCTCCACAAGAAAAGACTGTCTTATTCCTTACACAATCCCCAGCACCTGGCGATGTCTGGCACACAGCGGGTGCACAATATCTAATTGTTGAGTGAATGAATGAAGGAGTGTTCTGGGAGCTCCACAGAGACAGAGATCAATCACATCAGCCTGAGGGAGGAGGCTCGGTTTCAAAGTGAAAGCCACAGAGGTTTTCTCATTAGGAAAAGCTGGCTTTCCTTTAAGACACCCCTGCCTGTGTTTACTTCCCAGAAGAAAGTTCCTTGGGAGCAGTCTAGGAGGAAGCCAACAGGGCAGCTTCTAGCACTGAGCCAGGGGCCACATTTTGGCACTTCCAGGGCCCCCGTGGTATGGAAATAATTTGGCAGCCCAGGGCCAGATAACAAGGCTCCCAACTGCCTGGGTACTTCCTTCCAGGGACCCCGAGTTCCAGAAACTTCCTCAGTCACTTCCCCAAAGTCCCAGAGAGGAAAGCCAGCACACCATTTAATCTGCCCGCTTCTTCCTCTGGGAGTTTTTATTGGAACACCCTTTCCCACATCGCTCCCTGGGAGGAAACAACGCCCAGCCGCGGGCTGCAGTGATGGGGATGACTGGGAATTCTGCGGCCCCCTGTGCCGCAGTGAGACCGTCTGGCCAGGAGCACGAGGGGCCCTGACTCCACATCAGGACAAGACCAGCGTTTGTTTTAGATAAAACCACAGACTCAGTTCAGATAGTCACAGGCCTCAGGAGCCCCATCCTGTGAGGGGAAGAGGGGGGCTGATAAAGGAGGTGCCTTTTTCTGCAGAAGAACAAAAATCATTACACTATTATTACCATTTACCGGTGCCCACGGTGGGCCAGGCCCTGTGCTGAAATCTTTTCATCACCACACTGACTCCCCGAAGTGGATACTATCACCCCATTTCACAGAGAA